GCACGACGGCGTGGTGACGGTGATGGTGATATGATCCGCATAGGGCTTCGCCTAAGCACCACGAGAATATGACCGGGGGTGTAAGCTGTGGAGGGGGCGCCGCACACGGCTAATAGTTGATGTTCTATGCTCTAGGCACCCCCTCCCCACATATATATAGGTTGGAGGGGAGGAGAGGCAGCCAGGGGCACCCAAGTAGGCTGAATCCTACTTGGGGTCTTCCCCCAATTCGGCCTCTCCCCCTTCCTTAATTGCAGGAGAAGAAAATGAAGGGGGAAGAGAGAAGGAAGGGGGGGCCGAACCCTCTCTTCTCCTTCTCCTATTCGGCCTCCTTCCATAGGGGGAAGGCGCGCCACCCCTTGTGGGCTGGTGTGCTCCCCTCTTATGGCCCATATCTTCTCCCCGGGGGTTCCGGTAACCCCTCTGGTACTCCGATATGTACCCGGTACCCTCCGGAACACTTCCGGTGTCCGAATACTATCTTCCTATATATCAATCTTTACCTTTCGACCATTTCAAGACTCCTCGTCATGTCCGTGATATCATCCGGGACTCCGAACAACATTCAGTCACCAAATCACATAGCTCATATAATATAATATTGTCATCGAACGTTAAGCGTGCGGACCCTACGGGTTCGAGAGCTATGTAGACATGACCGATACACCTCTCTGGTCAATAACTAATAGCGGAACCTGGATGCTCATATTGGCTCCCACATATTCTACGAAGATCTTTATTGGTCAAACCGTTATGAGAACATACGTTATTCCCTTTGTCATCGGTATGTTACTTGCCCGAGATTCGATCGTCGGTATCTTCATACCTAGTTCAATCTCATTACCGGCAAGTCTCTTTACTCATTCCGTAATACATCATCCTGCAACTAACTTCACTTTGATTGCAAGGCTTCTTATGATGTGTATTACCGAGAGGGCCCAGAGATACCTCTTCGATACTTGGAGTGACAAATCATAATCTTGATCTATGCCAACCCAACAAACACCTTCGGAGATACCTGTAGAGCATCTTTATAATCACCTAGTTACGTTGTGACGTCTGATAGCACACAAGGCATACCTCGGGTATCCGGGAGTTGCATAATCTCATAGTCGAAGGAATATGTATTTGACATGAAGAAAGCAATAGCAATAAAACTGAACGATCATAATGCTAAGCTAACGAATGGGTCTTGTCCATCTCATCATTCTCCTAATGATGTGATACTATTTATCAAATGACAACATAACACATGACTATGGTTAGGAAACTTAACCATCTTTCATCAACGAGCTAGTCTAGTAGAGGCTTACTAGGGACACGTTATTTTGTCTATGTATCCACACATGTATCAAGTTTCCTATTAATACAATTCTAGCATGAATATTAACATTTATCATGAAATAAGGAAATATAAAATAACAACTGTATTGTTGCCTCTAGGGCATATTCCCTTCAGGACGATGGTATTTGGACACCAGAAGTGTTTCGGGACATACCGGGAAGA